ATGTGAAACTGTCGCCACTTTCGATGGTTGCTGGGGGGTCCAGCACAGTGAGCACCCACGGCGGATTCAAATGGGACCTCGCCATCCCTGGGGGCTGCGATCTGTCAAACTGTCGCCACTTTCGAGGGTTGCTGGGGGGCCCAGCACAGTGGGTACCCACGGCGGATTCAAGTGGGACCTCGCCATCCCTGGGGGGCTGCGATCTGTGAAACTGTCTCCACTTTCGAGGCCTGCTGGGGGGCCCAGCACAGTGGGTACCCACGGCGGATTCAAATGGGACCTCGCCATCCCTAGGGGGCTGCGATCTGTGAAACTGTCGCCAGTTTTGGGGGCTGTTGGGGGGCCCAGCACAGTGGGTACCCACGGCGGATGCAAATGGGACCTCGCCATCCCTGGGGGCTGCGATTTGTGAAACTGTCGCCCCTTTTTCCGAAGGCTGCTGAGGGGCCCAGCACAGTGGGTACTCACCGCAGACTCACTAGACCTCGCCATCCTTGGGGGGCTTGCGATATGTGAAACTGTCGCCACTTTCGAGGGTTGCTGGGGGGCCCAACACAATGGGCACCCGCGGCGGATTCAAATGGGACCTCGCCATCCCTGGGGGGCTGCGATCTGTGAAACTGTCGCCACTTTCGAAGGTTGCTGGGGGGCCCAGCACAGTGGGCACCCACGGCGGATTCAAATGGGACCTCGCCATCCCTGGGGGGCTGCGATCTGTCAAATTGTCGCCACTTTCGAGGCCTGCTGGGGGGCCCAGCACAGTGGGCACCCACGGCGGATTCAAGTGGGACGTCGCCATCCCTGAGGGGCTGCGATCTGTGAAACTGTCGCCACTTTCGAGGCCTGCTGGGGGGCCCAGCACAGTGGGCACCCACGGCGGATTCAAATGGGACCTCGCCATCCCTGGGGGGCTGCGATCTGTGAAACTGTCGCCACTTTCGAGGGCTGCTGGGGGGCCCAGCACAGTGGGTACCCACGGCGGATTCAAATGGGACCTCGCCATCCCTGGGGGGCTGCGATCTGTGAAACTGTCGCCACTTTCGAGGCCTGCTGGGGGGCCCAGCACAGTGGGTACCCACGGCGGATTCAAGTTAGACCTCGCCATCCCTGGGGGGCTGCGATCTGTGAAACTGTCGCCACTTCTTACCTCGCTCGTCGCTGCGTTTCGAGGGCTCCGGGGGGCTGCGATATGTGAAACTGTCGCCACTTTCGAGGGCTGCTGAGGGGCCCAGCACAGTGGGTACTCACCGCAGATTCAAATGGGACCTCGCCATCCCTGGGGGGCTGCGATTTGTGGAACTGTTGCAATGTTCGAGGGCTGCTGGGGGGCCCAGCACAGTGGGCACCCACTGGGGATTCAAATGGGACCTCGCCATCCCTGGGGGGCTGCGATCTGCGAAACTGTCGCCACTCTTCGAGGGTTGCTGAGGGGCCCAGCACAGTGGGCACTCACCGCAGACTCAAATGGGACCTCGCCA